CCAAGAGACATCCATGATGCAAATTGTACTAAAATTGTTTATATAACTAAAAAATGCTGATTGTGTACATTCTTCTAGTTTGTATGGTTCAATGAAACACATTGCTGTTACAGTATCAAGAATACTTTCCTTTCCAGCTTAAGGATGGTGAGCTTATCTGTCACAAGTGTGTTTTCTTTGGCAACATAGAACTTTTTATTCTTTGCTAAAAAGTTGTATTTTCTACAGTTTGATGCATAACTAAAGTTATTTAGGTTTTGTAATTGGGAAAGACTATTAGCTTCTATTGTATTCTTGAATAACAAAACTCAATAACCCAATGGCAAATTTGCTCAGTCTCCAGGATTGCTGTGACAGGGGTACATATTCCCCCTATGGTTTATTCCTGTCATCACCTGAACATAAACTATACATCACATTTTTCTAATATTTCTGTGGTAATGGTAATAAAAACATCAAGTGAACAAGACTGTTTCAACCCTACGAATGATGTGTTTTCTTTTGATAACTGAAAAGGACATAAACATCAAGGATGAAAAAATATTCCTACCATTTAGTGAAAAATGTTATTTAACTTTGAGAACCAAAGAATATTCAAGGTATATAATACCAAATACAGCAATTCCTTTTAACTGGTTACATAGTATGTGTTTAAATTTATTTGGAATAATGTAACTGTTTGGTAATGATCACAAAATATATTTCTGGATATATGATCTCATTTTAAGCCCTTAAAAAATACATAAACTTCTGTATATTAAAGTCATTAATGATCAATTCTCCGTTGAACAACACTCTTTACATTTTATGGATATTTATTATTTATCAAGACATCTTTTTTTATTTGTTCCAACCCCATACACAATTGAAGGTTTTGATAAGTTATCTTGTAAAATATAATCTTAAGTCATAAATTGTCTACAATACTTGTAGAATTCCTTGTAAATATATAATAAATATTTTTTGTACACAATTTATTTTTATTTTTTAATCTTGTCCCCCCAATAGATTGATTTAACTTTGTTTAAAATAACTTGTGTTTTTTATCGTTTCCCCTAGCGCCAGAGGCAACAGCTGCTAAAAATTATGGTCCAAAAGTAATTTGCAACTTTTGAGTTTTTCCCCATAAAATAGCATAGTTACTGACACCCCTACAGCTTACCCATGATAAGGGTTGTTGGCAAGCTAATTAGGAAAAAGTATATGTCAGATTGCTGATACAGTTTTTTTTACTCTGAATAGAAAAATAACTAAAACAAAATAAGAGTTTGTTTCCTGCTAGACCAATTTATAGCCTTGCAGATTTCAAAAATAATTTAAAGGTTTTAACAAGTTATCAAAAGTTGCAAAATAGCAAAGTCCAACAAACTCCTTAACATTGAACAGTATTTAAAGTTAAAAATATTTCTATTTGTAACAATATTCTCTGAAAAGGAAGGAAGTGAGAAATATGAAAAACTTTTAATTAGGCAGATTCCTTTATTGAAAACATTTCAGTTCTTAATAATCAGGTACATTTAGGAAATCTATCAATATAGTATTCGATAACAAAATATTCAGTTTTATAATTTACATCATATATGGTTTAATTTACTTACACCTTATCAAACAGTCTCTCTAGATGCTACAAACATATAGTTTAACAGATTTATACAATGATTCTTTTGAACATCAATGTTAAGAGAAGAAAGAGATTCTAATGTAGCCTAAAACCTAACGTTATAATCAAATCAAATAAGAAATGTAAACTAATTAAACATGATTTGAAAAATCGTCATAACAAATTAAATACATAAAAAGATTACAGTAAATATGAAACATATCCTAAAATCATGAAAGCTGCCAGTGTCCAGTTGTAGAGTTCAGTATGATGTAACTATAATTATTATGTAAGTACTCTATAAGTTCTAAAACATTTGCTACTGCAAGTTTATTTTGATATATTAAATATAGTCGTGTCACAATATGTTTAATCTATGGTTCAAGAGAAAGGCTAAATGGTTATAAAATGTGATTGCTAAAATTTGGAACAAAGATTTACATTTGCATAATATAATCTAGATTAAGTACTGTAGTGGTTGAGGTGAATTGGTTTTGCAATAATATCTAGCAACAAAGAGAGTAAATTGTAAATAATTGTGATGGCAAAAAACTACAACAAATACATTTATTATAGTACTACAACAAATTTACATGTATAGTCCATAATGTACTATTTTGAAATATATTTATTCAAGTTTATTGAAGGCTCTCAAATTGGCTTTCTCTAACTTAACTCTAAATAAAAACTTAAAATGAAATCAAGTAGTATTATTCGTCTATAAAAATATACATATAGTTATATACACTCGTATTTAAAGTTTTGTTTAACATTTATTATTACAGACATTTTTCTGGTAGAGAAAAACATGCAGCATTTAAGGCTACATATGGCACCATAGAAACATCACATATACCAGTAAAATATACAATTACAATGCCTGTGTAAAATTTGTACATAAAGCACCAAATATTAAAGTCTATTATTATACATAAAATTTACACTAATCTAAAAAGAATAAAATTATAAACACAACAAAAATAGTATATAAAATATGTGATTCTTACTAATACTTAACTTACTAACATTGATAAAGATATACAGGGTGGCTGGTGATCAGTGTTACAAAAATATTTTTGGTGTAAGTACAAAGCATGCATCACCACACTTCATTTACTTTGAACAGTAAGATGTTCAAAGTCTAAAAATTAGCCTCCCAATGAATTATTTAACTTTTTTTCTAAAATAACCATGTTTTTCAACACAATACAGCAATTTCTTAAATACCTGCTAACGGATTTGAGTAGATGTCATTTTCGTGTTCTAAATTAAATTTTGAATTAGAATAATTGGAAATGTTGGAGGATCAATAATAAAAACCCCATTGTAAATATTTCCAAAGATTAAAATTAAGGTATATTATAAAAATATAAAATAATATTTGTCTATTGCATTTTTCAACACTCTGTATACAAGAAGGTAGCAAAATATGTTAAAAACAGTGCCATTTAATTAGCTTTCCAACTAGGCTGAGGTCTGCTTATGTTCGCTTTAGTGGCCTGAAGACTCTAAATCACGGTGTTTTTAACATTTTAAACACACAATAGTAGGCATGTAGTCAGCAAAAACCGTAAAAACAGTAAAAAATTTCCCTGTGTTTTCTAGTATTCAAAGCACTGAAACAAACAAAAGCAGGATATAAACCTAAATAGAGTAGCATGTGGTTGGAAAGCTTATAAAATGGCGCAGTTTGAATATATTTTGATACAGAGTGTAGAGAAATGCAATAGACAAATGGTTTTTTTAAACCTTTATCATAGTACAATGGGGTTTTACTAATAGCCTCCATCATTTTCAATCATTCTTATTCAAAATGTAATGTAGAAAACGAAAATGACATCATGTACTCAAATCCGTTTGGTGGTTATTGAGAAATGCTGTATTGTGTTGAAAATCATGGTTTCTTTTAGTAAAAAGTAAAATAATTCATTGGGAAGCTAATTTTTAGACTTGGAACCTCTTATCACACTTCATTTACTTTGTACTTACACAAAAAAGTTTGTAAATTTGATGACCAGCCACCCGCTATTGTTATTTGAACACAAAGAATTATAAAGAAGATAAAATTAAAATGATTCAAGATAAATAGTAAAATCCGCTTTAAACTTTGGTTCTAATATTGACTTTTGGAAACTGAAGTACATTCTATCAGTAGTCAAATAAAGATCTAAATACATTTGGCAACATTGTACAGTAAAAATTCTCATTGGACCATTTTCACCTAATCTTCTGTAACTTGCAATCAAAATTTCACTAGAAGTTTTTATGAAAATAATGAGTTATCTGGAAGTGTTATTAGTTGTAAAATACAACTTTATTTTTTGCATTATGGATTTTGTTGTATTTACCAACGATTTAATTTTTGTCTCTCTTGACCGATTTTTACGATATCAATAACTGTTCATCAACCCAACTGAGGAAATAGAATACTATGTCCTATCAAGTCAATGTCTGCTATATTGTATTTAAATTACTGTATCTTCTTATGTTCAATATTCAGACACGGTCTTGCAATGGCATGGATGATAATCGGTTTAAAGTTAAATACAAACAGTGGCAAAGGTTGGCGACCCTGATAAACTCAATGACTAGAGATAGTTACTCTCAATTACCACTTATCTAAGGACAGTTTCAACTGGATTAACCACCATCTGACCTACAAACCCGCAAAATATTTTGCAACAGGATTTGCACTCATAAACATGTTATTTTTAGTTGTCAAGCGAAAAATGACTTGTTCCTCGGGTTTGACCCATTGTAATGTATAAAAAACTGTATATGTTTTGCAAGTGAATTGTCAAAAGGGAAAGTTGAAATTCTAAGCTAAATATTTTTTGTAACCATTTAGGGTAAAAAAACATTGCTCTTTCTTTATGTTCACCAAGACAATAGTCTATTAAGGTAAATTTTACTGTTACTAAGGAGCATACAAAAACATGGAATCGCAAGTGTATGTATGTATTTTATCATGGTGGAAGGAAAAAACATAGGTGTGCTATTCCCACAAATTCTGACGTCACTCGGATTGCAAACAAAAGATCATCTGATCATCATGATGAAGATCATCATGATTTATATCATTAGTTTTTTTTTTAACAGATATCCTTCCATTTAGGTATAAAATACCATGGTGGAAGGAAAAACATAGGTGTGCTATTCCCACAAATTCTGACGTCACTCGGATTGCAAACAAAATATCACCTGATTGTAACTGTCAAATTAGTATATGTTTTTGTTTTGATTTGATTGTTATTGTTTTTATTATTATAAAAACAATAACAATCAAATAAAAACAAATACATACTAATTTGACAGTTACAATCAGGTGATATTTTGTTTGCAATCCGAGTGACGTCAGAATTTGTGGGAATAGCACACCTATGTTTTTCCTTCCACCATGGTATTTTATACCTAAATGGAAGGATATCTGTTAAAAAAAAACTAATGATATAAATCATGTAAATAAATAATGCAAAGTTATTCAACAAAAAAAATGTACATTGATTATTAAATTGCTATAAATAGTAGAGACTTTCATAAAGCTACTGAGCTCATGTTCTTCTTTCTAATAGCTAGTTATTTGTTGTGTAATGGTATGGGAAAACAAAAGATCCAAATTTGTATGGAAACAATTTCAAAAATAAAACCAATATTGTTAAAAAATCTTGAAGGCCTTACATGCTATGACTTAGTTTCTACTCTTAGTCTTAAAGGCAGGATCCCATCAATGGAACTTGTTCATTTACATTGTTATGTCTACTTCTGATACCCTAGAGTGATCTATGAGTGAAAGTGAGTTTATAGAATTTTAATGAAATGGAAATTTAGATGAGTGAGGTTTTCCTCCTTGCTGTAATGAGTGAGATCACATAAAGGGATAGAGTAAGTTTTACAGAAAGTTGTACACCCTATCATCACTCTGACATTTTCTGAGGGTTAGGGGGATACTTGACACAGCCCACAGAACGATACCAATAGTTTTAATTGCATGACTGTCTCTTATTAGCCATGTACTGCATAGTGTAAGTGGAATTGAGAACTGTATAAAGAAGTCTTCTCTCTAAAGAATGCATACATAATTTAACTATTGAGAAAACATGTGTATAACTGTTATTTTGTGTAACTTTAAGGAAAACCTCACCAGCCTTTCTGTGTATTTAAATTTTCAAATTTAGAGGAAGGAGGCCCAAGTTTCGACAGGACTTGGGGGTATCTCTGGATGGGCGATGGGAACAGGCTGCTGTAAGCATTCAAAAACGTAGTTGAGTCCACCGTTGCTGTCCCAAAACTGAGTGCCGGCTGTGTGGTAGCGGACAGCAAACTCCATCTTCTGTCCAACACTCAGCGTGTGTGCGTAAAGAACAAAACTAAACTTGTCGGAGAAACCATCACAGGATTTGGGAATGTACCTGAGAAAATATACAGAGATCTAAACATTAATACCAAAGAGGTGTTTTAGTTCACAACAGTAGGTAACAAAAATTATTCATGGTATAATTAACCATACGATAAAAAAGATATAAAAAATCTTGTGGTTGAAACAACAACAAAAATATACAGGGTGACCGTTAAGTCTTAGGACGACTTTATAACTTTTAAACGACAAACGATATCACAATCACATTTGGTATACCGTTACTGGAAATTGTAAGCTACTTTTCTGTGTACATGGTGGTCGGATATCACCTTTGGGGGACGGCCCGTCGGGGGTCATAAGAAAATCTTAAATGACAGCCTATGTTGAGTTGTACATCATTTTAAAGGTCTACTTCAACTGAAAACAATGCCGCAAACCGCACTTCAAAAGGTTGATCCTGCGCAAAATGGCAGATGTTCAAAGATTTTCAAAATTAGCCAATTTCTTTAAATTAAAACACTTTTTTAAATCTTTAAACAACTGTCATTTTTTAACGGATGGTCCTTTTGAAGTACGGTTTGCGGCATTCTTCTTTGCTTAAAATTCCCTTTAAAATGATCCCCATAACTTCACATTCAGTGATCCAAATAACTCTTCAGGGCGACGGCCCACAAGGAGTCGGAAGTAAATCTTGAATGGAAGCATAGGTCAATATGCACATCAAATTAAAAGTATTTATTATTAGAATACAATGCCGCAAACCGTACTTCAAAAGGACCATCCGTTAAAAAATGACAGTTGTTTAAAGATTTAAAAAAGTGTTTTAATTTAAAGAAATTGGCTAATTTTGAAAATCTTTGAACATCTGCCATTTTGCGCAGGATCAACCTTTTGAAGTGCGGTTTGCGGCATTGTTTTCAGTTGAAGTAGACCTTTAAAATGATGTACAACTCAACATAGGCTGTCATTACGCACCTAAGTGGCGTCCCCATCTTAATGATTGATAAATGATAATTGATAATTAAAGATTTTCTTCTGACCCCCGACGGGCCGTCCCCCAAAGGTGATATCCGACCAGCATGTACACAGAAAAGTAGCTTACAATTTCCAGTAACGGTATACCAAATGTGGTTGTGATATCGTTTGTCGTTTAAAAGTTATAAAGTCGTCCTAAGACTTAATGGTCACCCTGTATAACAAAGTTTATAATTTCAAAAAACGGAAAAGGTATATCTTGTGCACTCTTCTTTTTGCTAAACCGTTTTTTACCAGGGGAATAAAGCAGCAAGCTCCTTTAAGCAAAAAACATGTCATTATGATTTATCTGAATGTTTAAAGTAAAACAGTTTCTGATAAATTTATCAACACAAACTATTACAAATGGTCCTCAGGTATTTCCCAACCGAACAATAATTCTAGCAAATTCCTTTCTCTAAATCCACACATCGACACATCATCATATTCTCTTTCATTCACTCACCTGGCCTGCAGGTCAGCATAGTTCTTCCAGCTGTTGATGGAATAGCGGATGTAAACACTCTTGTGGAAATCGATGTTCCGCACCCTGACAACTCCTGTGATGGCGAACAGGTTCATGTCACTTACTGCTGCACTCTCTAGGCAAACGTTATTGGCCATCACTCGGTCCATGAAATTGGGAGAGAGAAACGGTTGAGGGAACAATGGCACCAGAACCTTCTGGGTCTGAGGAGTCATCACACTGGAAGTGGCTTGTGAAGATGGAACATCGTCAGGTAGGTGCAAGTCTGAATAGGCTGAACTGGGCACCGTAGGTACCTCGTCTTGGAAGGTTTTGGTATCCGTCAAGTCCAATCCCAGCACGTCTGCGAACCTTGAATGGATTCATATTGTTACTTTTTGGAAATAAACAAATGATTTTTCCTACAGTTACCCGACAAAGTGGGCTTTCTTGCACTGATTATAGTACAGAAAGCTGCTAACTGCTGCATTTACTTTGTTTTTGCCGCACACTTTTTACTTTGCCGCAAATTTTTTTTTTTTTTTTGTAACCACACACCAGTATTCCAACCAAACAACACAAAACAGCGTGCTTTAATTATGCACGTAATCCGTGTACGCTAAGAAATAGGTAGGCAACACTTAAAGATACTACAACTACGATCAGCTGGTCCAGTGTTTCCCCATTTCTTCAATGTTTGGATTTAACCTAGCCTAAAAACGTGTTGTACGGTGTTTGAAAGACAAATTATTTATATGATTTATAGTAACTGTAGGAAAAATATAATGTGTAACACGAGTGCAAAATGCCTTTGCTGCACTCGAGAAACTTTCCACAGTCGCCTACGGCTCGAGCGTAATTCATTTCTTTGCGTCGTGTGCAGCAAAGTGCACTCCTCACTTCACCCACAAGTTTCTTCACCCAAAAATCTTGCTCCCTGATGTATATCTTCAAAGCTTTACATTAAAGACAGATATGCAACACTTTACTGACCAATTGGTCAAAATCAATGAAAAACTACACATAACAAGAGATAAATTCTTTGAAACTCTTTATCACTCTTAAGTGCTTTGAATCACTTTACTCTCTGTTATGTATTTATTAGTTTTCTTTATTTCAATCATACTTAAATTATTCCAAACAAGTCAATAAAAATTCATTAACCAATGTTTATGTTTACAGTTTATTATTATTAAGGTTTAAATTAGAATTAAATTCAATATATTAAAAATTATCAAATTCTATTATATCACATTGTATATCAAAGAATATTTCATTATAAAGATTGGCAACACTGTTAATGCAAACAGTTTAACTAGCTCAAAAATAAGAGTTTGACAATTAATTTATTTGAAAACCACATCTGAGACATGTGACTGTGATGATTGAAAAGAAGCCAAAACATGAAGTAAAAGTGTAATTCAAGCCAAGAAAATAATTAAGTTATGAAATTTGTATTCAACTTCAAGAAGATTTAAACAAGATCAGTAAGTGATTCCTTTTATGTATTCAAAATTCACCAATACAAAATACCTAAATTAAAAACTATTTTCTTATCTCTATATTAGCCATTAAGCTAATTCATTTTTCAAACAATTATCAAAATTTCATGACACTCTCTGAGAGAAAAGTGGGCATATGGACAACATATAAAAATACTATAGGAAGGAAGAAATGCAAGAAAGAAAACCAAATTTAGTAGCAATCATTGTCAGTTGCAAAACGCATGCTGCAAAATATTTTTTAGTCAACTGGATTTAAAAAATTTTGTCTACTTTGAAAGTTGCAGGCTTAGTCTAGACCAGTTAAAGGATATTACAACTATTCCTACACCTATCGTTAATAATATGTTGTTGTTACGGATATTGAGAGGATAGTTTGACAACCGACTAAGTATAAAAGAAAGTCCTAGCAAAGCCTTCAAACCCCTCAAAGTCTACTAACTCCATTGTAATGAAATTTGCCTCTTCTTAAACTGATTTGAGGGAACAAAACTAAACACTGTCACGAACCTGACAATCTTCTTCCTCCCTGGAGTTCCAGGTGGCGTTTTTCCACTTTTCAAACTCGAACATCTTCGGAAGTTTTTCCTTTTTGTTTCAATGTCAAATTCTTCATCTTTTTCTGCAACCTCTTGGGATTGTGTAGGCGTTGATTCTCTTACTTCGATACTAGGACAAGTAGTCTGTGGGTCATCGCTAGTTTTTGAATCTGCTACCAAATTCTTTGCTTCTTCAGTACATTCAGAATCTTTTGAAATCTCCCTTTTTAAAACTTGAAGGAGATCAGAAAGAGAAACACTATCTTCTGTCTCAGGTAAATATCCGTTAGGCTTCTGATGGGAAAATTCAATGTGTGAATCTTTGTGTTTATCGGGTTCCTTATCTGCACTATGGTTTATACTACTGCTAATTCTTTGGTCTTCTATCTGGGGAACTATTGACTCTGTATTACTGGTAAAAGTAGACTTAGCCTGTTCTATATCACAAAACACACAGTTTCCTAATGTTTCTGAATCTGTTTTATCTGATGTGTTCCCAGCACAAACTAAATGCGTTTCTAAGCTTACAGCACCATTACAAAGTTCTAAGACCGGTTCAGCTTCTTTTTTATCGATTTTGTCCACATCTTCCACATCAATCCAGGTGTTGTTGTTCTCGACAATATCACAGGTTTCTTTCTCGGCGATTGTTTCACTTGGTTGAATTTCTTCGCAAGATATGACATGGACTCTGGTGCATCCTAGGTCTGCATCTATGACATTTGTGTGTCCGTTTGTGAGAGGAACTGGTTTTTCAGTCTTAAGGTGGAGGATAGGGATTTTCTTCAGGAGTGCCGATGAAGATGGCTGAGGAAGCTCCTCGAAGGTGTCAAAGTACTCGGATCCTGACGATTCACTTCGCTGGAGAGGAAGACCATCTTTGTTTTGGGATGCGATGAAGATTGGCTCTGCAAGTTCTTCTTGGGGACTCGCCAGAGATGAGTCAATGTCGTAGTAGACCTCAGTGCTTGACTCTACCCAGCTGCCCCCGCCACCATCTCCAGCCCCGCCTAGGGAGCGCAGACGCCTCGTCAGGTGACGTGCAAAGTCTTCAGCGCGGCTCTTGAGCAGCCCGCCTCGCTCAGAGGTCATCTCCTCGCTCCAACAACCTGCGGCAGAAATTATATTTAAATTACAAAATATTCTTATATTAACTATGTCTTATGAGTTAGGTACGACACAATTAAAAGAAATTTACTAATATTTTTGTAAAGGCAATATTGACCATGTTTTGGATTATTGCACTGATATTATAGTTCTCGTATTGGATTTTAATAACATAACATAATAGTCAGTTTTAATTTTGATATTGATTTTTTGTTGTTGTTGTTGGTGTCAGAATCTATAGTTGTCAAACCCATCATGCATGACTCAGCTTAGTCAATAACTTGGAAATCAGGACGCCACATCACATAGCAAGTCTGGGATGTCAATTGAATCTGACGCGGTTGATGCTGTCCATGAGTTATGTTCAATTCAATATGATCAAACCAATGGCTACCGGTGCGATATTAGATAATGCAGTATTTTAATAGATCAACCATTTGATTCAAGTCCAATGGCATTATGAACTTGTCTAAGCAGGATTTCTGTATATCGATAGAAAGGTTTGATTCGAGGTTGTTAAAATATTGGATTAGATTCATTTTCAATGCTTCCGTAACGATCATTTTTCATTTAGATACCCACCGTGATTGTTTATTGATTAACTCTGCGTTTATGAGGTGAAACCACTTTTGTTCTAAGATGTGATAAAATGCTTAAATATTTCAGATTTAAAATAGCGCTCGTTCGTCAGAAACACGTTTTGTAATCTCACACAATCTTAAACCAGCAAAACCGCAATTTCGGCCCTGGGTGCAAAATAGGTTCACTATTTAATTACGGTGTAATAGTATATTTCGTACCTAGGGCCGAAAATGAGGTTTTGCCGGCTCGAGATCGTTTTTAAGTTCGAGACGAAGTCGAGACCTGCAAAACCATTTCGGTCCGTGGTACGAACGCTGTTTACCACACTATACCCTATTACCACTATTCGCCTCTATAATGCACACTGATAGTCAACACAACTTTAAGGTTATGGGCATAAATCAGCAAAATAAAAATAAATAGTTGCTAGGCAACGGTGACACTAAAATAATTCTATTGCAATGCTATGGATACTGATTAATATGCATTCATGTTTTAGGTAAGTAAGCGGGCAGCTGATTTTGCAGCCCTAGGGATGTAAAAACCTGCTCGGTCCCCAAATAACGATGACAGCTGGCATGGCCAGCAAAACGTAACTTTCAGCCACCTATTAACGTATGTAAAACCGCTAAAAAAATCATAGTGTGGTGAAAAATATGAAATGATAATCTCCTAATAATTTTAAACATGTGACATACTTGTACTTCTTAAAACAAAAATATTCACTATCGTGTTATTATGATAATATTTTCGGCTAAACGTGATTAAAATGTATACACATACAAAGGCCTATAAGTTTCCTCAGAAAATTGCCAATCTAGGTCAACTGACTTTACCCTCGATTTAAGGTTAAGTTAAACAGTATACAGGTGTAATTCAAGTCAAGCTCAACTGGTTAACTAACAGAGGCTATAAATAGCATCAACAACCGGTTTAGGCTTCCTGAAGACGGAAGAATGCCACAGCTTCTAATCAGTAATCAATATCATGTTTTGGACGACGACGATCCGCGACCAGCGAGGAAAAATCTGGCCAGGCAATAGATGTAAGGTGCACATGAGCAATAATAAATGTTGCTAAATATTATAATGAAATATTGCGTATCAAATTTTATGTACGCGGATTCCGAAAAAGATCGAAAAAAAGGTGAATAAAGTACAGTAATTTTGAGTCGCTGGCTGAGTGGGTAGCACTGCGGGGAGGCAGCGATGTTGAGGCTTTGCGTCCTGGTGCTACTAGTAAAAATGTTATCAGTAGATTCAGGTTCAATCTTGTATTGTACCATAGACAATTGAGGGAATAAGTACTTACACCCTTTAATTATACCGGCTTACCCCTCACTTTGATATTTTCACGCTCAGACCAACAATCATTTAAGAGTCCAACTCCAAGTTTGTTTGACTGTGGCATCTATGATATGTAACAGAACATCTGTCCACGTCTAGAAATTTTCGTCTCCCCATCCTAAATATATTACAACATGGGTCCTCTGTATTGGGCGTTGACCTGCCATCGACCCCACACACGCACACGATCCTAAACATAACCTTGGGTTTAGTTGTCTTTTAAACGAGAAATTATGGGATTTAAATGTGTTAACGTACTAAATGATTACTCATTACAATGTTATCGTACACTTGACCTTTGTACCACTCTGTCAAATGAACTTTACTCTCGCCAATATTAGGTATACAGGCAGACCCATAAAATGTTCAAATTCGTCTTTAATTAATCTATATATTGTTCTCTTGTAATTTTTCGTTTTTAAATTGACTTATTTACGATTTACCATAAATAAAAAATATGTTAACTTAGTACTAATGCCATTTGGACTATTTTATGATAAAAAAAACCCTAGGAAAAATATATTATATATACAGTTATATATATAAATATATATATTTACATAGATCCATGTTGTATGTTTGTATAAAACCCTACTTTTATTTTCTTATAGAATGTACAGTGTCGGCTTTCCCCTGCGCAACCCCTAAACTATTAAATTTTGGACAAGAATACATCACACCAAGTAGGTAAGTTTTCTTGTAAGTGTTTTGCCTGATATCATTAAGCTTTCATGTATTTTAACACTTACGTAATGTCCTATGCAGGAGTGGACCAAATACTTTAATGTAAGCATATTTCGAGGTTGGATACCAAGAAATGGTATATTAAATTAAGCCAATATGACCTTAAAACATTGCTCTTTCTTGAGTTATGAGCGTAACAATAAATTGTCACAGTTGTATCTAGTTGAGTATTGAACGGTTACCGGTTATGAGACTTTTTCCACTCAGCATAATAAAACTGGTATTATGACACTCCTTAGTAGTGTGGAAAGTATTGCTTTGTAGATATTGTGGAACTAATTTATGGGTTTAGACATAATGACACTTTGATATTATGAAACTCCCCCGACTTGTACATCCAGATTCAAATTCAAAATTATATTAAGGTAAAACACCCTCAGAATCGGTTTTTGTTTTAACACAACTCTACTGACTGACTAAAAATCATTGAATATATAAGTTTAAGTCCTACTTTCCGCCACACTTTAATATCATCCTACAACATGATAAACAATTCGTCCTGATCAAATAAAACTTCTATAATCATTCTTTTGGCAAACATGCTTCTAAAAGTTAAAAGCGAATTCTCTTTGGTGATACAAATTAAGTATAAAAACTAAATTCTCAAAGTGCGGGACAGTTCACTGGATGCGGCGTAGAAATAGCTTGACACTGGTTTATAAATAGTAGCCATATCGCAATATGCACACAGGGAACACGGCGGGTCCTCGTGTTCGGGTGACTTCGGCAACCTTCGGCTTGCAACAATCGAACAGCTGTGAGCGACAACGCTCCAACCCGGCAAACTGGCGCCACACTGCAAACTTGCCTGAAGTCATTGCATTTGTATTGTTGTGTTGTGGCGCGTTGAAAGTTGCACTAGTAAAACATTATGGCGTATTTTTATCCAAATAACTAAGGGCTTTTAGACTTGTCATCCGTATTAATCAGTTAAGGACAATTATTACTTTATTTTAATGTATTTTCTGTCCTGGATTAATGCAGGCGTTCAGATAGTTTTGACGTTGACTTGCGTTTTTGTATTCTACCACATGATTTTATGCTAATCAATTTATAAAAAAAACTATTTTGTGTCCTTTGGTGCAATGATTACTAATTTCAATAATTTAAAGCTATTTAAATAATCAATAATCATAGAAAACTTACTTCTTTCCAGAATTTGCGATTGTTGCGGATTTGCAAAGGACAATAAAATGTAAGTTTTTACTGGTATATGAGTAGAACGTTATTATGTCAATTATTGACTCTATATAAGTTTTATTTGACAAAATAAATATAGTTTAGTAAAATAATAAATAATACATCAATAAAATAAAATAAACTATAAAATGTTGTTTCTCCTCATTAATTGAAGAGCATGGAAGGTCATACATCGTAACATTTACCCTTTAGAACCCGATAAAAATTTAATCAACATCAAAGCTCTGAAGCGCATATCAATAAAAGATTTTACCATAAGGTGGGACGCATACTTGGAGTAATTATAAAATCAATATAAATACAGAGGATGTGCCACCTCTCTCAAGCGTGAGCGGAAATAAAAATTGTCTACAGCTGATTCATTGCTTCTGTCAAAAGTTCAAGAAGGTTGGCTCTATAACCATAGGAAAAAGAAGTGCTATAACGGAAAGACACAATAAGTACTTTTATGTACGAAGGACGCAATCTACTATAAACGATTTTCGAATCTTCATTAGATTAACGTTTAAAATAGTATGCCATTTGAATTGCATACTAAAGATGATAATCGTATTACGAATACATGTGTATTGTTTGTCTAGATTGTCGAATAACAATTAACTCCAACATACATAAGTAAGTGATTCATAAACACAATTAGACTGGAGCTCTTTGAAAGATAACAAGGGCAAACAACAGTATTTGTCTTGCTATGATAAACGTATCTGAACATTCCCAGGCTATATTGGGAACAAATATTTCCAGGAAATGCAACTTAAATGTTTTGTGATGTTTTGCTTTCTTACGGCTATCATTAGCTATCGCCCAATCTAGAAACAAAATGCGAACTGTGTGGAACGGGTGAAAAAATATTGCTTAAGATACACAAATACTGACTGTCAGTAGATAAAATGATTATGTGAATGACTTTAAATAACCTATATTTTGATTCGCAATTTTAGTTCCAGCGGCTCAACAGTGCAATTAATAGGTTTTTTTTATTTACCTGCAATACCTCCAACCCCCCAATCACAAAATCATAAGTACCGTAGTTATGTTAGGGAAAATGACTTCAATATTTGAAACGATCACGTGAAACTGTAAAAAAATGAAAGTATTTTCTCAGTTGGCATCACTGGAACTAAGTTTCC